CGTCCCGGGTTTTGAGGGGAGGGGGGGCAAAGGTCAAAAGGATTCGGCCAGCCCGGATTAGGCAACCCCCCCCCCCCCCCCCCCCCCCTTGGACCGACGTGCAAAGCTCAATCACTCGGCAGGAACAACAGTAGTGACGATTCCGGAAACGGCGGCGTTGGAACAGTCTCGCCGAGAGCTTTTTCCCAAAAGAGATCATTTGATTTCGGCATCTTCTTCGTTTTTGAACGATAGAGAGGCTTGAGTTCTGGTGCAGGGGATAGGGCGTCATGTGCAACCCACGCGATAGAGATGATGATCTTTCGAAGGAGACGATCAAATGAACCAATCCTCTTCAGCTGGCCAAAAACGAGGCCTGCCTATGGTGCCCACCGCTTACCCTTGGGCCACGCAGTCTTTGGAGTGGTAGGTCACCGAAATCTTGACGGCTCCGAAGGGGTCGTCAAGGTGCGAAGCTATCGGACGAAGCGGCACCCAGAGCGTAGTCCTGGAGGACCAGGGCAGGCAATGGTGGCCGGGTTATGAGGATTGCAAAGAAACTCGCCCAATGCCGAGAGAGTGAAGCAAGAAAATAGAGGGGCGTAGCCAAAAAAGCAGTGCGTCATGCGGTTGCTTCATCAGCGAGAGATCCCGAGGCGTACCTGAGGTCTGATCGCTGCCGGAAGGTTGACATATCGATCCTAGCGACCGACTGGGTGAACGTCTCGCGCTGCTCGGTCGTCCTGAATGCAGTATCAGGAACACAAGGCATGTGGGGAAACGGGGGTATTGTTAGCCGTCAAAACGTCACCGGGACTTTGGGTGCGCCCAGCCTTCAGACGGGACGGGCTCTCATCCAAGCGGAGGGTGTGAGTTCATACTCTTAGCCGTGCATACGGTAGGCGTTAGACCATTGACCTCGCATCCCTACAAAGCCGGGACGGAGCTCGCCGGGTTCTCACCGGACCAGGCTCTCAAATCACCAAGCGCGAAGCGTCGTGAGGTATTTGGCGAGTCGCATGAAGGGTGCGTTGAATCCTGCTAAGGGTGTTCGGCATCTTGTGCTTACTTCCCTGCGCACGGATGACAGCTGCGAACGACTTAATTTATTTTCTGGTGCTTTCACTTCCAGAGACAGTTATAAGCACTGCGTAACTGCCTCGAGGATGCTTGACCGTTTTAACACAACGTGGTGCGATCATCCCCCTTGCGCGGAGCGAGGGTTCTCGACCCCGCACAACATGATCTACTCGACCACCATTATGGTGTACCGCAAAAAGAACGAGGCAAAAAAAAAAAAAGCGGATGGGGGGGGGGGGGGTACAGGATGGGGTACTCTAACACGTGACCACGTGGTCGACACTCTGTGTCCTTCTGTGTGTCACGAAACATCTATGACGCCTCGTACCGTTTATTTTCCCCTCTGTATGTCTTCCTGTGATCAGATACATGGCGGCGATGGTTAATTGCGAGAGGCTACCGACGCCCAAGCAAGAGAAACCCGACAATGTGATGATGAATCGGGTTGAGGACGGCTATGCTTTTTAATTATTTCCGGTGACCGTCCCCCTTGGCTGGCAGAAAATCGAGCTCACAGGCTTTCTTTCTTCTGAGGAGGACCGAACGGAACAAGGTACCCACATCTTCGCCATTACTGGGTACGGGGTATTTTGCTCTGACCTATGCATGTATATATATCGTCGTGCGTGGTCGGGAATTGGAATGCTCCGTCGTCACCACCGACCGGTCTGCCGCGTTTGGGTGGTTTGTCAAGCACATGAAACAACAAGAGCCCCCTTCAGTCCTCTTCTTTCTCATCCAGACAGAGGTAGGTAGGTGCTGACAGATGCGACAAAAGCCCGCGCAGTACCAGAAAAAATAACAGGGCGCGTTGCGTTTTCGGAAAATACATCCAGCAACCTTGGACCCGTCCGTCTTCGGAAGAACGCCGTAAACATTAATGCTTCTCGTTCAATGCGCCAGAAGTGTTCAGGTATTGTTTGCAAGTTGTACCCGGTCGCTTTGGTGCTCAGAAGAAACCCACCGAGTTACCAGTCAACGCTCCATAGGGCAATGTCACCCCCGCGTACACGTCCATCTAGCATCGCTATGTATGCTCGAAGGACGAGACCCGTTATTGATCGTAGGTTTGGACGGATGTAGCATACGTCATTGCATTGATTGATGCCAGTATTTTTTGTGGGTACATACGGAAAATTCCGAAATAACGGCAAGCCGCTCACCTTGATTTAACATCAAACACCACCGCGATCTCAACGCCATCTACATGCTCTTTTCCGTTCGTCGTGTCTTGAATTTCAAGCTCATCATCCCACAGAGGACGTCGGGCGTCGGGTTCAGGACCTACAGTGGCAGCAGCATGCTGAGGAGACGAAGCAACAACAAGAAATGAAACGACACAAGGCGGAGGAGCAGACACAAAAAATATTTACATACTGAAGTTTGAGGGAGGCCAACTAGTGTAACTGCTGTGTGTGGCACTTTGAGCACTCGAGGGAAAAGTGAGAGCATGATAGAAGATAGCGAGCGGCGAGGGGGATATTTGCCAACGGGGCTTGACGATCTCGGCTATTTCTGTCTCACGAGCGAGTCCCGTCTTCTTCTATCCTGTGGGGCGGCTCTTCAACGCCAGTTGTTGAAAGGAAGGAAGAAAACAACGCGCATGCATGCGCATCCCCCGCAATTCTGTCTCATCCGGGGTACCTACATCATCAGTGGGGCCCGGAACACACCCACCGGCACCAAGAAGCCAAGGGCATATCGTGCAGTAATAATACCTTCTGCTGCATGTCGGCGAGGTCGATGGCCCCGGTGCGCTGCCTCTGCGTTCCATTCTGAACTCGATTAGACCACCTCGATTGCGATTGCTGCCTCTGCTGTCCGCCGCTGCTATGCATACAAGTGCGTGGCACGCCGCGAAAGGCGAGAAAAGAAATGCTAAGCATGCTTCTTCGTAGCGTGGTTTCAGGATGACGGCAAGTCTTTGAACGGGTGAGAGACGGGCCACACAGGTAGGTGGGAAAGGTGATCACCGCTGGTGCTGGTGTGTGCCCTGGGCGTATTGCATTTTCAGGAAGTTGTGGCTGATCCGCCCGCTAGGGAGCGCTGGAGCGGATAGCGGCCGCACGAGGGCATCACATGGTTGGTACTCCGTGACCGGGCCAACTGGTTTGCTCCAATTGGAAGTAACAGCGAAGAGGTCGTCTTACTTATGTTCCTAGAGGATTTCGGAATTACTGTTGTCAAGGAATAGCCTTCTTGTTCTGCGACTGGCCCGTTTCTCTACGGTGCAACTTACTTCGAAACATGATATCGTCACGGAATATAATATTTTGCTTCTTTCACTCGGTAGTTTATCTCCCCCGCCTGGTCTGCTGCTGTCTGCTGTGTAGCTACACGCGTTTCTCACGTAGAGTTATTAGTTTTTATGTCTTCAATCACTGAAGGGCGAGCACCGCAGCTCGCGGTCTCCCTGTCTGTGCTCTGTCGTACCGCTTGGAGTTGGAACGGCGGTATTATACCTAATGTAGATACTCTAGATCTTTTGTGTTTGTTTCATCAGTTCATAGATCTGTCCTTCAGAGCGGTGGTGCCGCTTACTCCTCGGCGTACCGGACCTGCCGGACCCACGACCGCTCACCTCTCTACATTCACTGTTCCGCCGGTGGCGGTGTTGTATCTCCCTTCGGCCCATCCCGCCAGCCACAACCACCGCACCCACGACGACTCACACCATGGTATGGCCGCCCCATCGACACACAAGAACCGTCGCGAGAGTACCGTCGCGAGAGTGGGTGGTGGTTGAATGCGCACACAGGACCGGACGATCCGATGCGGACGGGGAGAAGAAAAATATATTCCTCCGCACCTGCGAAACCAGCAAGAAGTTGCACAACAAGGAAGTACAGCAGCAAGCAGTGCTGTAGGTGAAGACGGAACATTCCTGTCGTGCCAGCACTGCATGCAGCATTCTGCGTAGATTACGTTTGATACCACTGCCCCGGCGTTTGCCGCGCTACTGTACTAGTGAGAGCCGAGATCCGGGATGACGGCACGACGACAATTAATTATCCCAGAAACACAATGTGTGTCGTTTTATTATTCTAGCATCGACCGCGCTAGCCGGCTGACCAAACGAAAAAAAGCGTGTGCGTGTGCCTTCTCTCAGTTAGTTAGCTGCCAACGCGAAAAGGAAACTTTTCAAGAGGGATACCAATACTGCCTGTTGCGTGTGTATAGTACTATCATTCGGCACCTGGCCAAGGACATTTTTTTTTTTTTTTTCACTTCAAATCAGCGCTCACAGCACTAGTGCCGTTTATTCCAACCCGTGGTCACACAGAAGAGCCTCTCTCTACCCTCCCCTCCTCCGGTACTCCGCCTTCAATTTTTTAATGCGAGGACATTGATTGTCTGTTCCCGAATCCACAACCGCTATATTATTCGAACATAAATTGCCCTGCTTTACAGGGCTGCCTCCAATCTGTGGTCCGCTTTCCTTTGGGCCTTTGAACCTTTGAACGGATTGGATTTCACGCGTGACGGCGTGACGAAACGACGAACAACAAATCCTAACGAAAAAAATGGGAGCGAGGAGGGTGTCTCTTTCTCTGTCGCGGAGTCCTCTCTCTCTTGTTCAACTAATTAAATAACAATATTGTACATCATCATGTCACACAGCGGATGGATGTATGCCTACGCCAATCAGTAGTTTGCTAGCCTTTCTTTGTTCTTGTTGTTGTGCGCTGGTTAGCGTCTGTCTGGTGGTTGTAGATGACAAAAAGGCAGGGCTGCCCTCGTTAATTTCTCCGCGGTAATTTTACCAAGGAGAAAAACCACGATAACAACTACCGTTTCCCGTGATCCCGTGAAAAATGAGAATTACCGTTCCCATCCAAATCGTTTCCGTGATAAATTGATTGTACCCTTAACGAACAAATTGAAGTGCCCCATTAATTACCGTAAAAATTATTTTTTTTTTGTTTTTTTCCTGGAGCTGAAACCAATCCTAAACGGATTGGAAAAACAAATCGTGCCGTGTGGTCCCGTCCTCCCGACAACAATCTATCGTTGGGGGCGCAGAATACTGATTGATGAATGTGGAGTACATTCTTCCTTCCTCCGTTGTTCTACTGCTGTATCTATGGACCTCAATCCAAAGTTTATCATGGGCAGGTTGAAGGTGTTTGGGTTTGTTTCACGTAGGAAAGTTGTTAACAATGTTAACGACGACGCAAGCTTAGCCTGATCACACATTCAACTGCATTGCACCCAACAAACTACTCTAGTTTGTTATATGAACTGCGTCGCTTCGCGCCCCCCTGCTCCTTCAATAGATGGACTTGAAAATATGCCCAAATTTGAGGTAGTCCTGACGTAGTCGCAGATCGGAAGCGGAGCCTCCATTTCCATGGTTGATCCGTTGATCCTGTCGTCAGCGACAACCCCCCCTGTGACGTCATCCTTTCGATGCAAGAAAAATCGTCACAACAAGAGAAAAGGCATAAGGTACACTCTGGCGAAAGTCCTTGCAGAACTAGGAAACGTCTTCAAAGCAAGGTTCTGTTCAGCAGGCGTGCAGCAGACACGAACGCTTTTCCTCCATGGGGTCGACGACAAGGGCTGGCAAAAACAACACCTCAACACCTCACATGCGAACATACATGCGCCCTACCCCGTTGCCGCATACATGTATTTAGGGCCAAGAAAAATGGAAAAATGGTTCACAGTTCAAACATCGACATAGTGTATGCAGCACTACTGAGTAGCACCTAGATATCTGACTTGTGCAGCCTCTCTCGGCTAACCCTTTCAGTCTTTGTACCAACGAATATTGTAACCACCGTGAAATGTGCTATGATTCAGTCTAGACTATGGCAAAATCTACAAAACATCAACAGTCACAAACACAGCGAACACCACCTCTAACACATCAACAGCAAGCATTACATACTGTAGTACACGCCTCCACCCACCCAACAAAATTTGCGTCACAACGAACCAACACATACCTGGTTCTGAAAACCACGTCGAGACAACATGCCCGCAGTCCTTGCTGCGCGGCAACAAGAATGCCTCTTCGCTATACGCCTACAGCAGCCAGCCCCGCTTGCGCCATTCAACAACCAAATCGACCGCTCGAAACAGCACTGCTGACTGTAAATACTTGTCTCTGCCAAACTGCCGAGAGTTTACCCATTCTGGTCGAGTTGCTCCAACTGAGAGCCCTATGGCGCATGTTCGGGAAATCCCTCGACCTTTGCTCAGGAGATCCACCAGCGATACACCCCACATGATTTTGACTGAACCGTCCCTCCCCCCGAGAGGGCCTCTATGTAAGCAGGAAACGTCGGTGGTGCATGGGAATCGTAGTCGGGAGACCTTCATCACAACGCGCCTTTGAGCTCAAGACCGCAGATATCACCGCATTGGCAGTGCTTTTCTTTTCGCGAAGTGCAACGGTGCCGGCATTGTCAGCATACGCCTGCCTTGAACTCGCTTGAAAAGATGGAATACATATTGCTCACTCAGCCCTGGGTCATTGCCTGCAAAACCTTGCGATACCAAGAAACCGATACATGGGCAGCAGGCACCAGCGCGGTGAGTCGGGAACGTGGGGGTCGAGATGTCGGAGAGGGGTCCAGGTACAACCGATGATTGCCGAACCTTCATCAATTCATTCCCTGCGATTTGTCCCCGAACCGCAGGAGGTATAGTCAAAAGACTGATGATAGGTCAATACAGCAGTACTGTAGTTGCCGATTGTTTTCCGTTCACACACGGTTGTACTTCCGCCAACGTCATTTCCGGGTGACATCAAGGCAAACGACAGGATATCTTTCCGAACGGGTTGCGGTACACAACGTCCCGATGCTCTTGATGCTGCGATTTCCGCAAGTACGGTGCAATTTTCCAACTCACTGCCGCGAACTCGATTGGCCGTGTTGTTTCAGGAACCAGATTTCGTGCCTTCGACGAGAATCCTCTTGTCATCGAAAAAACTGAAACGGCAGCTTCGAAGTATACAATAGAGGAGCCATTATTCTGGCATCTACTGTACACTACTCCACGCATCTTGGTTATTGGACACTTAATCAAGGAAGGAGCCACGCCCACACACACACACCCGCCAGCAAGAGGCAAGAGATAGCCCCCAGGAAGACAGGACCCGCGAGCCGCGGAAACTTGAAAACACAGATGCACGGTACAGGAACAAACTTCACACGGGTTGTATCGCACGTACCATGCGACAATCACAATATTACTGTTGTGACAAGTCGAGAAAGACACAAGCTCCACCACTTCCGAACCATTTTGACCCGTTTGTGTAAACTTTTCATTATGGAAGGCGTACCTTGGCTTTGAGGGATTCCGGTGCGTTGTACACGTCTCCCGAGTGGGCGTCTTCCACCACAGCCGCCAGCCGCGTGCCCTGGTCGATGGCTCGCTTGGCGTCGAGCTCGGCCGCCTTTTCGGCCCCGCCTATCAAGAACACCGGCATGCCGGCTTCCTTGAGGGGATCCTGGCAAAAGAGTGACAGCAAGGCATCAAAATCAGCAGTAGTTAGCCAAATATTTCCGTGATTCTAAAATCAGCAGTAGTTAACCAAATATTTCCGTGATTCTTTGGGTGTTTTATTTTCGGGTGGTGGAGGTACTCATCATCGTTCGACTATTGGCCTTGTTTTAGGGGGGAGGTGCTCATTTGGTGCTGTCGGAGGGTGAAGATGGTGGGAATTCCATGATGATGGTAGCTTTGCTGCGTTGACAAATCGTTGCGATAAGGTGGAGCCCAATCCAATTCTCAGAACACCGACCGATGTCACCATGCCACCTTTATTCGAAGAGCAGGGTGGCCACACGTCACAAGTCGAACAAAACAGGCGCCTGAGACTACACAGACAAAAAAGGTCATGTTTCGACATCATCAGCCTTGGGATATCACAAATCTTCGCAGCCATCAACGAACGGGTCCATCAATAACCACGTCATCGGTCCGAGAATACCTCGAGATCTTTGAGTGGCTCCTGGCCCGCGCAGACAATGACGTTGTCCACCGGCAGCACCATCGGCTCTCCATCCACCTTGATGTGGAGGCCCTCGTCATCCACCTTGTCGTAAGACACGCTTCCCAGCATATGAACTCCTGATGAAACGGCACGCAACGAGACATTTCAATGTAAGCACGATCGCCCCTCTCTGTGCTTGCAACCATCGTCGTCGTGGTCACCACGTTTTTCGCAACATCTCTACTTGAGAGGTTCGTGTTTTGGTCAGGATTTTCACCTGCGTGAAGGACACACACCACATCCCAAGAGGTGCTGACTGTCACATGGTTCAACTGTACCTTACCATAGTATCTGTCCTGTCGTGTTTCTCCGTGAGTTAGAACAATAGCTGTGGCGCGCCAATACTTTTCCCGTGAGACCGCCTCTCTAGTGTTTTCATGGTTGCAACTGTTGAGCAATGGCGTATGCTTATCCGTACCGTGCTTCTTTAGAGACGTGCGGTGTATCCACCCGGTAGTCTTCCCGAGACCCTTCCCCAGAGGGGCCTTCTTCCTCTGACACCTGCAGTCGGAGAGAGGGGAAGGGGGAGGGGAGGAGAGGAGCAAGGACATACTGAATCACCAACAGGGGGATGTTGCTCACCGACGGCCATATGTGGTCCTTCCGACTAAAAGCAAGCCGCCTTTGAGGGCTGTTAGCAATGGGACAACCACGTGACCTCTCGTCAACTCACAGCCAGATCTCCCTGCCGTTGTGGCCAGAGTTGTCACCGCTTGTCCCATCAGCGAGCCCCCCTCGGTTGGACAAATTCCGGTCGATCTTCCACTCCTGTCGCAAGCAAGGGCCGGGGGGTCATGCGTGTACTTTGCCCGGAAAGGTACGTAGTCAGAAGTTTGGAGGGCAAACCACGGAGGTCACCTACTTCACAGTTTGAGAATGCAGTCTCTAGTGTAGAACGAGCAATTGCTAAATTGCTGATCGAGGAACATGCTAGCTTTGTGGATCGATCAATGTGTTGAGATTTCAGGAACTGGCAGGTGTCCCTGTGGCGAATCCACGCCTACAGTATACTATAAACTGTAGACTAGCCCCACAGCTCCTTGGGGCAGGCCGCCAGGACCGATCACCATGCATTTTCTACCTCACACAGGCGGATATGTAATCAGGCAATGCCCCATTAATGAAAAACGACCCTTTACAATCGGGCTAACACTTTATTTTCTGTACTGTACACCGTATCAGGAATGAGTGCAACGACAGAGGCAGAGACACGCTATGGGAAGTTGAAACCAAATCTTCCCGATACAACACAACGGCCGCATTGCCAGGAATGTGCACCCGAACCGCTTCAGAAAAGAACACCAGTCACCACGAACCGCATCCCGCGGTTTCATGAACGGCCAAGACATCAATTTCTCACGCACAACGCACCGACCCAAACACGAACGTCAATCGTACTCTCGGTGTCATGTTTTCGCAGAACATCACCCAAGGTTCACTCGATCAGGAACACACCTTGAGGAATGATGGTACGTCTTGGAGGCGTTCTTCGGCAGGGGTCTGTAGCGCTTTCTCCCCTAGCAGGTACTCCGAGACGTCGAACCCGATCCCACCGGCTCCGATCACCGCCACCCTTCGACCCACCTCCGCCTTGTGCCTCAACACATCCACGTAGCTCAGCACCTGGCAAGGAGTGCCGCATGTATGTGTGCGTGAGGCGAGAGCCAATCAATGTGATTGCAATGGAAATGTTCCCGATATTCGATATCATATCACAACCTATCGTACACCACAGGTTTGAGGAGAATATAACGTCCGACAACACGAAATCATCGCGTCCGGGAATACCGAAGCATTCAACCAAATTCTACGCACTGCTCGAAGAGGTTTGGTCTCGAGGAGACGATAAATACTCAGTAGTAGCCGGCTGACCGGCTGGGGGAAGTTTTATAGAGCGCCAATTCAGATCAAACGAACCCCCGTTCGTGGTGAATGAAACTCAACGATAGCCGTAACGCTTCAGGCACCTTCGGGTGGTCGGATCCCTCAAAGTTGAGCGTCCTCGGCAGCACTCCAGTCGCCAGGATGACAGCATCGAAGCCCGGATCGGAGGCCAGCAAGGAGGGGGCGTCGACCTTGCTGTTGAGTCTGATATCGACGCCGGTCAGATCGATCTTTCGCTTGAAGTACCTGAGAGTCTCGTAGAACTCTTCCTTCCCGGGGACTAGCTTCGCCATGTTGAACTATCAGGGGGGGAAAGGAGAGAGAGGGCGGGAGGGAGGGGAGAGAGAGGGGAAGGGAGAGGGAGAAAGAGAGGGAGAGAGTGAACAGAGAGAGCGAGAGAGAGAGAGAGAGAGAGAGAGAGAGAGAGAGAGAGAGAGAGAGAGAGTGTTTGTGTGTGCGTGAGAGAGAATGAGAGAGAGAGCGATAAGATGCAATGTGCTACATAGCGATGCGGCATTTCACACGTACATCGCGTTGGCTGGTACCCTCAGTGCCGTCTGCGCCACTCCTATCAACAAGACAACACTGGAACCCTATCGTCTACAGAAATACCACCAACGTAATGCTTTGAACAAAAACAAAATGCCATCTCGGCTCTCTTACCTGGCCTCCCAGTTGGCTCGCGCCTTCGAAAAGAGTGACGTTATGCCCTCGCTCGGCGCAGCCTGTTGCCGCCGCAAGCCCCGCCGGCCCCGACCCCACCACGGCAACCCTCTTTACTTTCTCTCGATTCACGGGAAGCAGGTTCAGAGTCGTCTCGTACCCCGCACGAGGGTTGACCAGGCAGGACGCTTGCTGCACAAAGGGGGAGCGTCACAAGGAGCAAGGGGGAGAAATATATTTATGTTTTTGCGATATTGTGATGAGCAACGGGGCGGGGGGGGGGGTGTACTCATAGTCGTGCATGCCGTAGTCGTTTGACCATTGACCTCGCATCCCTACAAAGCCGGGACGGAGCACGCCGGGTTCTCACCGGACCAGGCTCTCACATCACCAAGCGCGAAGCGCCGTGAGGTATTTGGCGAGTCGCATGAAGGGTGAGCTGCATCCTGCTAAGGGTGTTCGGCATCTTGTGCTTACTTCCTTGCGTACGGATGACAGCTACGTATGACTTAATTTATTTTCTCGGTGCTTTCACTTCCAGAGACAGTTATAAGCGCTGTGTAACTGCCTCGAGGAAGCTTGACCATTTTAACACAACGAGGTGCGACCATCCCCCGTTGCGCGGAGTGAGGTTTCTCGACCCCGCACAACATGATCTACTCGACCACCATTATGGTTACCGCCAAAAAAAAAACCGAGGTAAAAAAAAAAAAAACGGTAACCTGGTTGCCGAGTTCACGAAGTGAATTGGCTTGTTTTACAACGTCGTTGCCAAGCGACGAAAACCCAAACCCCGATGGCAAACACCGGGGGGGGCGGCTTGTTTTACAACGTCGTTGCCAAGCGACGAAAACCCAAACCCCGATGGCAAACACCGGGGGGGCGGGGGGGGGGGGGGGTAATTCAAATGCAAAATACTGCTTTCTCGGGTGAAATTCCAACCCGGAAAGCTCGTCTGATGCTACGAGAAAGCACGCCCGTGGTGCTGAGAAGATGTTCGGCAAGAGGAGAGGAAGGCGACAGAAGTCTTCACGTTCGTCAAGCCTACAAAGCAATCCCGCGCCTCTTGATCAAGCAACAACGTAAATGAGGACTCCTGCGGCCATGATACGCTTTTCAACAAAGGCACACTGCGCCCTAAGACATAGGACAAAGAAGCAGGCATGGCTACCGACCTTCCCCTTGAAGGTGTGATCCAAGCACGCTTGGTTGCAGCCGATGCAGGTGTTGATCTCGTCCACACGACCCTCGGCCGCCTTCCTCACCCAGAACGGGTCCGCCAAGAAAGGTCTGCATACCATACCCCCGCACAGACGGTGGGGGTGGTGGGGGCGAAGGATGGCATCGAGGGAAAACGAGACGTCCATTGGGAGGGGCTATTCGGCGTGGAGAAGACATGGACGAAAAGCATCTTGATCAGCACCACTGGGCGTTCTCCTTCATATCTCCCGCTATGTAGCGGCGAACATCGTTGCGAGAAGGTAGAAACCTTGTCCTTACCTGGCCATTGAAATCATGTCTGCGTGACCCTCAGCCAGCACCTTCTCCGCCGTGTCCGGCATGTTGATCCTGTTCGTAGTGATCAGTGGCACCGACACCTGCAAACATGCCGATCACCGACAACGGCGACACCGCCAAAGCACATCGAAACATCACACGCATGTTTACCGTTTCGAATAGCCAGAGGTCAGTCGACGGCATGAAGGAGAAAGATAAAGGCTAGACAATCGCGGACAGTGCAGTGCGTCGGTATCGTGCACCACCGCATGAAGCTCAAGCTGGAACATGGGATTTCCCGGAACCATGAACGAATCCATCACGTTAACGTTCGTACCTGCCCCTTGAGTTTCTTGGTTACCCACGAGAAACCCGCTCTGGGCACGCTCGTGGCGATGGTAGGTACCCTTGCCTCATGCCACCCGATGCCGGTGTTGATGATGCTCGCTCCGGCCTTCTCGATGTTCTTCGCCAGCTCAACTATCTCTTCCCTGAAGGGTTACCAATTATAACGTGTGATGGCGGCGTCAATGCCCGTAAAGCAGCCTTTCGGAACCAAACCAGCACGTAGTCGAGAAGATCGATTAGTTGTACAAGTTCCGAGGCTTCTGTAGGTGAGCTTCGATTCGAACACTTCTTTTCTTGTCTGCTGCACTGATGTGGCGTCGATGGCAACCAACATTTTTCCGGGGGCAATTGCGATTGAAGCAATATTTTGGCTAAAAGACCGAAGACCGAAGTTCAATACGCTCTGAACGGCCACGTACACAAGTATAAAGCGATACTAGAACACACGCATACGCATGGATGCATGCATGCATGGAAGTTCAACCCGGGACGGACGCTCTCACTCACTCACCAGCTAGACCCCTTCTCGATGAGGTCGAGCATGGACAGCCGGTAGATGATGATGAAGTCGTCCCCGCAAGCCTCCCTGATCCCCTCCACCACCGACACCGGAAAGCGCATTCGGTTCTCGTAGCTCCCGCCCCACTCGTCCTCCCTGGTCGGTTGTCATCAGCCACCGGAGACAATAGGGGTTGGTGTGCATCTAAGCTACTGAGAAAGGGCATTATATTACCATCGGCAACGTTTCGCGGTTGTCGTGCGGAAGAAATAACAAGATTCGAGAGTGCTCGCACGCTACGTGTCGACCCCTCCTACATGGTCAAGCCAGCCACCATGTCAAGGATCGATCCACGCTTTATGTACATGCACCAACTCCAAGGCCGTTTCTTTTCATCGGGTGCTACGGACTGCTGTGGCCGTGCCTACCGTCGCTTCAAAACGGGATGGACGGCTCGCCCAAAACAAACATTAATTGGCGTCACTGGTCTTCGGCCCGTTCGAAAATAACCGTAAATGCTGTGGCAGAGGTACCGCCTTGACTGCGGTGCTGACTGCATCGAACTCGCCTCTTGTTTGTGTGCTCCACGAGGAACTGGTTGATCAGGTATCCCTCCGACCCCATCACTTCCACGCCGTCGTACCCAGCCTCCCTCGCCAGCATCGCACACCTGCATCCATTGCGTTCACGGAGACGCATACGTTGGTGTTCATAATTAAGCGGAGTTGTAGACAGAAAACGACGACAGAATGGTCCACGCAAAACTCTTGACATGGATGATAGCACAATGGGCATTGACGCACGTAAAGAGAACATTGGGGACATTCTCACAAGATGCATCGGCGAGAAACACCTACTATAATGACAGCCAGAACAGTCCTGCCGTCGAGGTGCCCTGACGACCGGAGTTTTGGGGTCCTACCACCATGTCCCGTACACCTTTGTCCGATCTTGGCTAGGTTCCCTCGCCAATGTCGTTCAATCGTTAAGCCACGCCGAGTTGGTCCGGTTTCCCGTCAACCGCATCAAAAGGCGTTCGCCGTACCCAACCCGCGTTTGATGAAGCCTTCAAGGCATCTAAGTCCTGAGGCTGCTTGCGTTCCAGCATTCTTCCTCATATGCTGCTCGCTCCATCATACCCAGCCGCCTTCTACGTTTCACATTGGCATATATTCTTTAGTCCCTGGACTACCTAACGACGAATTTTCTTTGATCACGGAGTGCCATGCGAAAAACGTCTCGCATGGCAATTTATGGTGTCCAAACATAGTTGGTGCTCCAAGCCTTTTGCTTGCACTCACCTCATGAAATCTCGCACGGTGTGGTAGACATCGATGTTGCTCAAGGCCTCGGGGGTGTGCTGGTTTATGGGGGCCTTTTCAGCGGAGGGGGCCACGGCCCACGGGTGGTAGGCGTAGCGCCCGGCGTGCAAAATCTGCCGGGTAAACCGCCAGACACCCAATGTTATAAGGTCTGCAGTCTTTTATCATTCCCACGATCAGTAAGATCAGAAAGTGATGCCACTGAAACAGCCGCCTGTGCTCCAAGCAAGCTTCTTCGGTGGGGGAACAAGAGACCGGCCCTCCCCAACGACGTTCTGCTTTCTACATCTCGAGGACGCCAACAGCGTCGGTGTGCTTGACCACTTTGCAGTACATTGCCACCCCAGAACTAATGGCAATAAACAGCAGAACAGGGCTCAACACGAGGATTGGACGCCCAGAAGCGTATGCGTGGAACTTGACAAGGGAAAGCCGAACCACCATCATCTCCGGGAAGCTTGAGGAGGACTCCTAGCCTCCCCTTGGTACAATAATGCCACTATGCTGAGCATGCTCCACCCACGCACGCGGATGTGCTTCCACAGCAGTGTCACTTTCACTTGCCAATCTCACTTGGATTCGAGAATACTCGAGAGCTAAACAGCTACAGTCTCCAACGTTTAACGAAATTGAACAGGCCCTTGATGCAGGCAAACACGGAGGGTGACACTCAGCATCCATCTGAAATACAGCTGTTGTGTGGAGCGGTACCATGACGTTGTGATCCAAGGAGCGGCCGCACCTGCATGCAGATCTTGCCGTCATTCTGGTGCACGGCCTCCGTCACCTCCGCGTGCGCCCTGACAAACAAAAGCCAGTGCAAATCGCCCCGAAGGGAGAAATGAAGACGGAAGGAAGGGTGAGTTCTAAGTAGGGCAACGATGTCACATGCCCAGCGATACGCGGGTGTCGCCACGGGGCACATGGCGGTGCAAGGCGTTTAGGGAGAAATGAAAGAGGAGGTCGACTTCTAGGTAGGGCAACCATCTCAAATGCGCAGAGATACGTGAGTGTCGCCACGCAGTACGCGGCGATGCAGGCGATAGCGATGCAAGGCGTAAGACAGGATCATTCGGACGGAATGCTGGTCGCAAGGTGTACCAATGCTTCGGGTCATGTCTGGTGTACCGGCGGGTAATATTCTAGGCCAACTGCAAACGCCCCGTTCCAATTTCGTACTGCGGCTCGTTCCGCCGCAGGACCCTGACGACCTATGCTGGGAACGACCGTAAGGGTCACGGAGCACACCGCGTGTACGAATGCGACGAAACCGGGGTGTGTTGAACAAGAGTTATCCCGCGCGTAATATTTAGCTAACCTGACTCCACGACTGTTGGTCAGCTTGGCGGCCATGGGGTAGACTGTCCCCGCCCTGTTAGGAGCGATGCCTCCGGTGACCATCAAGCCAGCTCCGCCCCTGGCTCGCTCGGCGAAAAACGCCGCAAGCTTGGAAAGCCCACCGCCTGTTGGAGCGTGCCAAGGTATGTCAGCCGTGCCAATCGTCATCAGGAAGCGGCGAGCGCGGGAGGCGGGGTGAGGTATTCTAGTGTGGGCATGCACCACGGGTAAACTTCACATGTTCAATGATGTTCAGAACGAATAAAAGTTGTAGGCCTGTGTCGCTGACCGCCGGTATGTGGGATTTTGGGTGTCGCCCCCTGGCATCCGCGCCCCTTCACTGCGAAAGCAGCACCTCCGAAAATGTTCGCGTCATATTTCTAAATAGGGGCTTCCTCCAACGCAGGGAGGGTACCACACAGCGGTTGAGGGCAACATGTTGTAGCACAAGAGAGTCGGGTGGATTTTCGGCACAACGAACAGAACACCGCCTGATGGAGTGAGTCAGTCGTCCATGAGGTCCGTGCGAACATTGTTTTTTCCCGTGTGAATATCATACCAGTTGTCGTGCTAGGGTAGAACCCGAGATCAGGGTGCGCCAGACACAGCAGAAAACACACGCGATCTGGAAGTATGGAATTCGGTCGACGGTCGCACTCGTCATACAGCACAAAACTGACACTACAAATGTTGTAATCCAGACGTCGTTTTGCGGGCACTACTTCACGAGCTCCTTGTACCTATACAAAGCCCGCGGAACCTTCCACTTCCTATTTCTTGATTCAAACTATCGAACCTGCAGCTGAGAGGAACATGTCAATGTGCCCAGTTTCTGCTGTTGTCAGGGGCACGAATGATTTTTTTCTCACCCAAGACTCCCCGCTCCTCTAAGCCAGTGTGCATGGATCCCATGAGCACACGGTTCTTGAGCTGCGTGTGCCCTAGGTCCAAGGGCTTGAGAAGGTTGGCATATCTGAGGTGTCCGCAGGAAGCAAGAGAGAAGAGTTTTGGGCAATCAAGAGACGAAATATTGAGCACAACAGCTAAACACCCTCGAAAAGTCGTGCTTGATCCTTTCAACAACTCTTGTTGTTGCCATTTCAGGACCCTCCCGTTGCAATTGAGATTGGCCGATGATGAGAGGGGGATTTTCTTCCAACAAATCCATCTCTTTCACTTCACTTCGTTTTCTTCGTCCAAACTTCAATTTGCACGTCTTCCTGTCGCTTCTTCCAACACTAACTACAGTAGTGCGGAACAGGATTTTATTGAACGATCTAGTCTATGCCAGTCTGCCAACAACGAGCTCCAACAGGAATAAAAAAAAGCCCAGTTCCACAGCTGTACAGGTGGAGGTTAAACGGGCATCAAATACAGACAAAAACACGACCAAACATCAACCCCGGCAACAGAAAAAAAACAAGCAGTTTCTGCTCCCCAACCACGGCTGGTTATGGAAGATATCACACCCCCTCGGACGATCTTCAAAGCTCGACTACTGCACAGCAGAATAAAAAAGGACGGTGGTGGTGCCGAAAACGGAGGCGTTGAAACTTCCTTGTCGAGAGCTTGTTGAAAACGTATTGGTTCAATCACTACACAATCCTTTTCATCGTGGAGAAATTGAGCAGTCCAGGGGGTGTGGTATCTTGCGTCACCTACTGTGCGGTACGATAGACAGCATTGCGTACGGCGGACACACGTTTGTCGGAGCGAACAACGCTGCCATGCACGGTATACTGCGGCAATTTGTAACGCGCCTTTGCCTGCTAAGGGGGTCGTGTTGTGTAGCAGACGGCCGATTCTACGACAGCATTGCCCAGCAGCGGATTGTACACTCTGGAACATCGGCGGACAATCTCCCGATCACGTTTCAGATTCAAGTCCCTCTTGTGGTCCCTCAAGGCCATCACGTCTCTTGTCAACTATGGATGCAACTATCAGCAGCTGTCTGTACACGTGCACCATATGACCAAGCATGAAGTCAGTCTGGCCAGCGCACGGAGAGCAAGGCAACGCCTCGAGATGATGAGATTGCGGAGACCAATTCTGGTTTCCGGTTGAGGTTTGATTGTTGCACGATCGGTTGAAGCGTTCAATCGTTGAAGCGGCGTGAGAGAGAACGTCAATTTGTTGTGTCCGCAGCTGCAGCAAACCAAGCGCTCGCCCCGAGCTACCTCTACCCCGGCAAGACTGTCTGTGTAGCCAGCATTCCTTGACGCCATGAACTGAAAGCGTTGTGCCCCGCCGTGTCGGCCACCACCTGCTGCTCGCATCGCTCGGGAGACGGAGTGTCTCGATCTCGAAGACGTTGCACCGAGGTTCAATCACCCCATCTTGAGTACTTCGAGTGTGGAAACAGATGACTCACCTCGTCATACTGCGCACGGATCCCACACACAGGACGAAACTGTCGATAAGCTCGAAAAGAAGGTCTGCCCCCTTTTGCAAGGGCAAAGAATTGGCGTGGACTGGATGAGAGCTGCTGAGTTGCTGAGTTGCTGTGATGCTGTGATGTTGGTTGTGGAGTTTGAAGCGCGGAAGAAATGAGAATAGGCCGCGTATTGCTATGTTGCTATTGGCCAACTACCGGTAATTACCGCGAAAACGCAGCTCTTGCCGGTAATATTTTACCATATATGTACGACTCAAGATAACACACCCCCTTGGACCGATTTGCAAGCTTGATTTCTCAACAGCAGAAAGATCCACAGCGCTGAAAACGGCGGCGTCTAAGCAATCTTGTCGAGAGCTTTCCGAAAATGTATCGTTTCGTGTATGCATTCTCTTCGTAGTGGCGTACTCGACACTCGATTTTTCAAAATCGGTGCAGGGGATGTGCTATCTTGTGTCGTACACGGCGGTATTTTGTTCGTCTTATCGGTAATTTCCGCGAACAATAGACGCTTGATGAACCTGGGTCCAGAGAATCACGGCGAGTAATCGATTACTTTCCTCTCCGTTGCCCTTCATCTCCGTCTTCTCTGGTAACTACGCCGCAGCGCATCATCCTTGAGAGTTCGCTGGGGTTGGGAAGACGACTACATTTATTTGTACCAGGTAAACTACACCGTATATGACACAAGATAACACACACACCCTTGACCGATTTTCAAAGCTCGATTTCTCAACGGCAGGAAGAGTCACAGCGCCAAAAACGGCGGCGTTGGAACCAGTCCAGGGGGTGTGTTATCTTGTGTCATATACGGTACAATGTATCTCGTGCAAGAAAGCTGCCCGTACAACGTCTTGTATTAGTACAACGTCCGAGAGATATCTGCACACCCAAGTCTACAATCGTCCCATTTGTCAATCCTTCTATCGGGGCCACAGCACTTATTACGGGTGCACAAGTCATTTTGCCCAGTTTTTCCTCCGATGATACGCTGGGCTGCCCACCCATCCACACCCTTAAAGCAGTGCGTTCGCGTCCAGCTCTGGCTGACCAAACGTTCCATTTCGTTTCGCCTAGTGTTGGCACTCACTACAATACCGCATCGTGTGGGTTAAGAGTTTGCCAACCACTTCCACGTGTGCTTGATGTAAACACTGGCTGCGCGAGAGGTGTTTGAAGTCAGCATGCAACGCCTCGAAGACCTCATACAAGCAACACCGACGCTATTCTACATCTGTAAATGACTCCTGTATACTATTCGGCAACCAATTACAGCCGTCACGACACCCACGTAAGAATCCTGAGGCGACAATCACGCCATCACGACGGCAGGTGGTTCCGATCATCGTCCTAAACAGAAATTCTGCCTTCCGCTTGCTGCCGCAGATATACGCGTCCCCCGCCCACCCCCACGCCTGGTCCGGTGAGAACCCGGCGTGCTCCGTCCCGGCTTTGTAGGGATGCGAGGTCAATGGTCTAACGACTACGGCATGCACGACTATGAGTACACCCCCCGCCCCCGCCCCCGCCCACGCCCCGGGCAAGAGGACAACACGGCATCTTGGTAAAATAGTACATCTATCTGTGGAACGTCTTGTTCATTAGCAGCGCGAGGCGCGACGAGGAACTTCCAGCTTGGCATCTTACCCATATTTCTTGCCGACGAACGATTTGGGGTCGGGCATTTACGGTTCGTAGTCCCTACCAGGTCTCCTATATGCAAAAAGAAGAAGAGTGTCGCACCCTGTCCCCTATACGTTGCCACACACCGTCCGTAGCAGAGCTGCCAATGGCAAATGACCCCAGTGACCGCGGTAAACAAGGAGATTAGAGCCGGTGACCCGAGTGCGCCGGAGCGGTTGCGGAACCCTCTATCCTCTCCCCCAGATCTTTCGTTTCTTGGAGCGAGGGGTTGAAGTTTGGTTTCTCTTCTCCGAATGCCGTCACCCCGATTTGGACCTTCCCGCTCTCTCCCATCGTCACCAGCCCCACCTGGACAATCAGACAGAGAGAGATGGAGAGAGAGAGATGGAGAGAGAGAGAGAGAGAGATACAGAGGGGGAGAGAGAAGTTGAACTGCTGTGAAAAAGTCAGTGCGACTCCTCCCAGCGAACGCTGGCATGGAAGGAGAAAAAAGGCTGAAGGCAAAAAGCGGACGGAATCCTGCCTAACGTTAGCAACACTACAAATACAGTCCGTTCAGTCCGTCCCCTTTTACATCTACGGGTTTTCCCAGTCTAGACAGGGCCATCATGACCACATCTGCCGGCCTGCGTGCACCATCCCCATGCGAGCCGGCAGCAAACGGAAACATGATAATAGGCTTCGAATCGCTCGCACTGAAGGTCCGACAACCTCGGGGCTTCCTGGTCCTCTCAACACTCAACAACGCCTAAAGAAGTACCTGCACAACCACTCTCAAGATCCAAACGACATGGCATCATGTCAAGGTGAACATGAAGCAAGTAAGCCATTCGAACACACTCGGATACGGGCGTATTTCAAAAACGAAAGCAGTATCAAACACAGCGCTCCGCAAGTGACGCAAAAAAATAAAAAATAAAACTCTTGGATCTTGGAAAAAAATACCATGAGCTTTGAAACAGGAGATACTATACCAGCGGGCTCGGTTCTGCTTCTTGTACCACAGGGACAGCTCAACGTCGTAACGATGGACGCCACCCAGACGAGAGAACCACCTTCTTAGATAAGAGAACCACCTTCTCAGGTACCGCACTCAGGCAAGCTGGAATGGTGCTGCTGTAAAGTCGAACTGGATAAATGCCGCGGTACGTTAGTTCTAGCAACGGGACGACTCTGGCGCACCTCGCACTGAAGGTCGCGTAGAGCACCGTACGCCTCGTCGACGCAGCCCCTGAGCTTCCCGGCCTCCCTCAACACGGCCTCACATCCTTCGTCCAGCATGGTGGGGCGCAGCGACGGCCCTCGGGCGGCAATGTTTCGGATGCACAGACAAGCCTGACATCGGGATTGGGTGACGTGCGTGAAAGTCGGTGCAGTGGTTTTAAGGGGTCATGAAAGCGCATGCTGTTGTCTTATTACCTTAGACTTCGCATCCCCAATGCCGGGACGTTTCGAGGGAGGGGGGCGGGGTCATCTGACGTGCTCATGCTCAGTTGCCGGTAGTTGTTGGTGATGGATGCTCTTTGAGGCGTTTCGTGCGCAAGAGGCGATCGGTGTGGTTTCGACCTCCGTCGCACAATACTGCGGGGGGGGACAGGCAACGAGTTGAAAAGATTACCCGGCACCAACGTCGCGCTTGCATGGTGGTAACCTATAGCGCCTGGTCCCTTGAGGTGCATTTACGTTCCCTCCTCCAGTACCGACCGTCACCAGACACATAAACTTCGAGCATGACGTACACAGCAGCGCTGCAGAAAGCACGTGGGCCACCATTCGAACATGGTAGACTACAAACACGGTGGTCAGGACCGACGTCCGTTGAGTTCGGAAAAATAGGTCCTGGGTGTGTGGCGGGGCATGTATGGTACTGCTTGCTTCACTGCATCAGTCTTGGCATGACAAGAGACAGGGGGCTGACCAACCTGCCTCTGCAGCGGCTGCACGGTCGGATGTCTTCGCATGGCCTGTACCACCGCGGTAATCCCTCCCTCTCGTACGATCTGCGCTCCGTTGGGAGGAGACCGGAGAGACATTGCTGCCATGGTGGCGCACCCGTGTTCCTGCATATCAGCCAAGTCGTCACAGACGCAATGGATGACAAGGCTGTCGCTGTCGCATACGCATTGACCCAAGCAATGATGTGACTGCAGAAAAAAAATCAATAGCGTTTTTAAAGGCCCTGAACATGATTTGCCATTCTCGAGTGCCATGTGAGGCACCCAGTCCATGATAGTCTTAACCAAAAAGAACGAAATACAAACCGATCCTTGCGGCGAGAATACCGAGTTTACCACCACACTTTACAGACACATAGCGCCGAAAAAAAAAACGGTCAGTCCGGGGGGTGTCATCCGGACCCTCCCTGCCAGGACTTGAGCCACACCCCTCCCCCCCGTCCAACTTCAGGGAGTGGGGTTCCCCTTCTCGACAAGCTGACTTCGAAACGTGCATGTCATGACGTCATCATCGACAAGTTCCCCCCCCCTTGCCCCCCCCCCCCCCCGACGCTTTGAGACGACCGCCAACGGTAGTGTGCACACATCAGTTACCTGCAGGGTTTTGTCGTTCTGGTGCTGTGCCATGCATCCAAGCACGAGCCTCAGCCCTCCCTCGTGAAGCAGCCTCGTCTTGAGAACGTCGTTCGCCGAGATGTTTCGGAACAGCGACAGAGCCGTGCGGCACACCACCGCCTCCTGCGGAAAGGCCACGACGGCCCCGCTCACGAGGTCTAGCCCCCCGTTTTCCACTACCTGTGGGGGTGGGGTCGCGCGTGGGAGCAGGCGTGATCAGAAACTTAGGCGAATGGGCGGGGAACAAGAGATGGTAAGGAGACAAAAGCTACAAAACTCTTTCAATGTAGGGTGCTTTGTGTGTATAAAGGTCTGGTCCATTGTTTTTGCGGGCAGAAGCATGGTGTGCAAGGAACGCGACAGCGTCGGGTGAACTGTTCACCATGAGCCAACACCACTACCACCACCACCACCATCACCAACATCAACGCAACATCAACACCAACATCACCATCGCCCCCATCACAACCAACCAGCAATCAACAGCAACAAGGGCGTGGCTCACCAGCTTGACGCTCTCGTCATTGGCCGCGAGCTGTTTGAGGGCCAGGAACACGGGGGACAGCGTGGCCGAGTCCTCCTCGGAATCTCTCGCGGCCTCCAGCAAGAGCGGTATGACTCCGGCAGACACGAGAGCCTTGACGTTGTCGTAGGTGCCTGGAAGGAAAGGTGAACATGGCGGAAAGGATCTTTTGATTGCTCCATTCGCCTGTGTGACGGCGAAGCTAGTGCTGGCATGAAACAACAGCGACGATAAGAACTCGGTCGTCGGTGCAAATGACGGTGCACGATGCTGCTTCTTTCTTTCGAAGCTGTTTCAAACACCAGTGGGGCGATAGATATTGTACCTCCTGTGCACGAAAAAATCAACTCTTCCGTAAGCCGATCGTTTCGTTTCTATCAAGTGCCACGGTATCTAGCGAGGGAAGTTGCCTGAGAGACGGTAGTTCCCTTCCCGGTGAACGGCCAAAAAGTACCACCACGAGTCATGACTGGGTGAAAGCAAACGCTGTGAAACGAACCCACGCTTGTACATACTGATACAGCAAAGGGCTAGTACGCGAACAGATCAGCAAGCAAGCGAAATGTTTGTTGGAGCTGATCGGTCAATACCGCTGGAGGTTTACCTACTGCGAAACATCCGAGACTCACCGAATGGCATCAAGAAAGCTGACTTGAGGCGTGAAGAAGCAAACGCATCAGCCGAGGCGAAATAAATCAAAACATATTTCTCTAATTCCACCACCGCAGCGTACCGCCACTTCACTACCCAGGCCCGCTGTAGAAGATACCTGAAAAGTCCTTCCGTCGGTCATCTCCCAAGGTAACCGATCGCAGGGCCGCACACGCCTCCCTGGTGACGGCGGCATCCCTGCCCTCCCCGGCACCGTAACGCCTCAATGTTTCCACGAGAACGTCGGCCCCTTTGCGCCTCATGAAGGAGCCTGTGTGCGCGGTGGCGGCAAGGGAAGGATAGAAACCGACAGAGATGGTATCCCGGTCTTGAATATAGTCGTGTACAGACGGTGCTTACAGAGTCAGGCCAAGAGCAAAGTTTCCCCGGGCTGAGGACTACTGTAGATACACACATCGACAAATGGACCGGTGGTCCAGACTGCACCAAACAAAGGCGGCGACGATTGGGATGGCAGTCGGATGCGTTGCGTGACACGCAGCGATAGTTCTTCAATGGGGTGAGCAAGTGGAGAGCTGACGTATTTGTTGGAGCTGAACCGCAAGTAACACGAGAGGTTCACCAACTTCCAATCATCGAAGACCCAGCAGATGGCATCGAGGAAGCTGAGTCGAGCCGTGGAGCACCAGTCGAGGCGGAAGAATCGAAACATATCATTCGAATTTCACCATCGCGGCGTACCGCTGCATGACAACTCAGGCCCTTGAACATGTGCTGCACTACCAAACACCAACGACCCAAAAAAAAAGGCACTGGTTCGTGTCCCTCTGCTCTTACCCTTGTTGTTCTCCACCTTGGTGCAAACGATCCTCACGGTCTTCAGCCCGGCCGCCACAAGCAAGGCCTTGTCTTTGTCTTTGTCTTTGTCTTTGTCGATCGATTCCCCATCCCCGGAGATGGCCTCAGGCCCGACGGTTCCCTCCACGCGGGCATCGTTATCGCCTAGGGCGACATCGTCTGGGCCGTTTGCGCTACGGCTGTCTATGTCCGGTAACGGGTTGTTCGTCCACCGCAGAAGTAGTGATGTCAGCTGGCGTACAGCGATGCGACAGCGGTAGAGGGTGACGGGATGTTATCAGACGAAGCAGCGAGGTTATTGCGGAGCCATCTTTACCTTCGGCTACCCATGTCTCCCTCACCTTCTCCGTCGTTCAACATGTCAACATGGGTTCTCACTGTCCTGTGTCCCGTTCCCTCCCCCCCCCCCCCCCTCCCCCCCCTCTCTCTCTCATGCTGCTCGTATTCTCCATCTATTGAAGTCTCCCGAAGCCTTGAGTTCTACTCGTGACACATAGCTAGCTCAATACCTTTACCCCCATGACCACGTGTAACGAAGCTTCACATCGTAGCCACAACGACACCCATCCACTACCTCAACAAGTGCGTCCACCTGGTCCATGTTCGTGTAGATGAACGCGTCGCGATTTCTCTCCGAGTATCGGCACACATCTTGCAGCGTGTTCAGGGCAGCGAGGACCACGCTGCTCGGGGGTGATTCGTCCGCGTCCCCTCCCAAGAACCGGGCAATTGCCCCGACTCCGCCGGCCTGTCGTCCCCGCCGAGGAAAACAAAAATCGGCCCGAACACATACGCGACAAAATGGAGCCAACGGCGAAAAAGGCAGTGAACTATTCAGTGCCTTGTACCGCCGTAGGGCGTCGACAAGGGCATCCTCGCAGCGCCTCCAAAGCTGAGGAAAAGAGCCACGGTTTTTCGTGGACTAGAACAGGAGCGCCGGAGTACTGCAACGCCGAATCAAACGGCCTTCCGCACTGAACGTCAACCCCGCGCCGTGGCCACCACCACAAGCTCTACCTTCGACGCTGCGAACACAAAAACGCGAGTAAATTATAGGAACGCTCGCGACTGCCGTACACCCACGACAAAACTCGTTTGGCTGGGACGAGAGCGTCAGGCAAAAGCTCAACCTTGACCCTCATAGCTTCAACTCCAACAGGCTCACCACCAAAACGCAGCCATTTTTGTCCCCATATCCTCGCTCACCTCTCCCACAGCCGCCCTGTTGGACTCCCCCGCGGCCCCTTCTTCCCGGCACATGTTTCCTAACGAAGACAACGCCTCCAGGCAGCCGCTCTCAGGAAACCCCTCCCCCTTCCCCCCGCCGTTAAAGTCAAACCCGCGCAGCCTTTCTACGTGGTCTCTGATGGTGGCCCTTGCATCCTTACGGACACCGTCGGCTGACGTGTCGACGTTGGATAGATCAGCTCCTGTAGCGTCAAGGAGAAGGAGAAAGACAACACCAGAACGGCAGTTATAGCGCAGAAATGCGAGAGAGGAGTTCTGCCCGACACGCCTCAAAGCCAGCAGTCTAGCGTCAATGCCTTGTATGCCGACGCGAGCACAGTGTCTCGTCAAAGCAATATTTTTTGTCACGCGGCAGCACCGCGAAGTCTATGTAGCTCAGCACGATATTCCTGTCAAGCCGCGTTGAATGGGAGATACAAGTTTTTTCAACGTGATTTCTACAGCGGCATCTGGGGCTGCAGCAGCCCCTTCGATAGCTACAGCAGGCGTGTTTCAGCCCTCCCCAAAGGTACATGCTGTAAATAAGAAGCACGGAAATCGACAACGGGGGCACTGCGGTTCAGAACTGCAGTAGAAACCTCCCTCGGCACCTAACCGTTCCAGCACCCAGCCGACTCGATATTGCCTTTCAGCTTAGCGGAACTCTGCAGATCGTGCAGACAGCGCACAACATCAGCACAGAGTAGAAAACCTGCAGTCTCTCACCGCTGTTGGGTTGCCCTTCTCTGCGGTCGGCAGTCAGTCGCTTGAACGTTAGAACGGCTACTGCGGGTGGGTAAGCTCCCGACCTACTGCCGTGCCCAAGGGTGCATTTAGAATTGATATGCGGGTGCAGCTCCTCTACTACTGTAGTCTAAAGTTCTCTGGACAGACGCGGAGATGTTGTAGCTTGCAAGCGTAGCAACACAACCATTCCGCATCCTCCACGCTGGCATACCCACCCGTGTTTCCAAATTCAAAAAACTTGTGTGCGATCACCGGCTGGATACACGCCCACATTCGGCAGACTCGAGTGAAACGACAGCAGCAACTCGCAAGCCTAACATATGCTCCCAATGCAGAGGTCACTGGCCACTGGATTCTCTCGTCATATAGCCAGCTGTGCACCAAACACAGTAGCATATCCAGCGCTACGCTGTTGAGAGATCCCGCACGGGATGTGTAGAGAAGTCGTACCTTGAGCGTTGAACTGGCCCACTGCATCCCTCGCCGCACTCTCTCTATCCATGTCGAAATCCTCCATGTTCTCCTTGACCACTTCGTCGAAGGTCTCTTGCGTGATGAACTTGGCCATGTTGTCTGTGGGCTACCTAGGACGAGCCAGCTGCGGAGGCTCGAGGTGGGTAGGTTTGTTTGGTGCATTGCTACTCGCCATGGCGGGGGCCCCGCAGAATGAATCGAGTGGTGTCGCCGACAAATTTTGCAGTTGCGGTTCCACCCCGGACAAGATGTTTTCCACTCATCCTCCGAAAAAAGCGCTGCTGTTCACAATCGCTCTTCTTCTCGATCCCTTCTCACCCGTGCGCACCATACCCACAACGACGGCGCTGCTGTCGTCCAGATTTGCTTTTGCGCACACCATTCCCAACCAACCCAAGGATATTTCTCCAGCGCTGCATCGCCCGGAGAAATTACGCACCGTGGAGTGCAAACAGCCCTTTGACGCCTTCAAGCGGTATGCACACCAGCGAGAAGGCGCGACCATATCATTCCAGCGAGCCCGGTAAGGCATACACGAAGGGGTTGTCCCTTGGGGCCAGCACTTGCGACTGCAATAAATGAATCCGAATAGGGATGAAACGTGATTGTCAAGCAAGGCCATTCTGACGTGGATTGGTTGTGTTTGCGGAAGGCTGCAAAAACTAAAAAAACATTTGGGGTGCAGAAAAGGGGTTGTGGCGCTGGCTCTTTTCCCATACTATAATCCGATACATACACAAAAAACAACCTTCCCGCCCCGCCAGGGTTAGGTGTCGCATTCTATTTTCATCAGTAGGGGACAC